CACAACGGCCGATAAAGTTGCTGTTGATATTGCTATCATGGAAAAGTACCAAAACGCTTAAGGCTGCGTTCATACTTTGCGTCAGCGTCCACCAGCGTTTCGAGCGTACGCCAGCGCTAGCGACAAGGAAAGTATAGATATCGATCCAGCGAACGCTAGCGTTTACCAGCGTCCGCCAGCGTTTTCGCGAGCACTTTTGAACTTGAGCAGAACTGCCCGCGAAAACGCTGGTGGACGCTGACGCAAAGTATGAACGTTGCCTAAGCTGTCCCTGTATCCATCGGATGGTAGATGCTTTTATAAGTGTGATAAGCACTTGTCATTGACAATGGATCATCAACAGGAGAACTGGAAGAGACAAGCAGTACCTTAAAGACGGCAGTCACGTCAAGGCTTCGCTAAAGAGGTCCCGTCAATGATCAGTTCCATAAGGTTCGCCATGTGACACGCGCTCCGTACTGTGTCGCAAGTTATGGCAGGCCAGGATAACATGCTATTACCATGCTATGAAGAAATAGGCGCCATTCGGTTTGGAAGGGGCACCTTGCTCTTACACTACTCCGTGTCAACAGGTTACAATTTAGTGAGACCTGCAAATGTCTGCGAAGCTATGAAACGTTACACTTTGGTCGCAGGAATTCACATGTCTTTACAAGGAACTAGCTCCCATGTTCTATTTAGTGTCCCTCCAAACCGAACTGAACTAATAAACGAAGGGCATGAATAGAAATGTGACATCAAACCCATAGTGTGTGTGCTAGAATCACAAAAGGCAAAAATGGGAAGTATTCCATGGCCGCCATATATACGCGGTCTACCCCGAAAGCTCCACGAAAAAGGTCAATGAATGAAAGATCGAAATGTATGAGAACAACGATTGCCGCGGCTGACATGCGCCTCAGGGATGGCAGGACAGCCAAAACGGTTCTGGAGCAATAATAAAACTAGTGACCTGCAGCACAAGTGCTGAGGCAGTACGCAACAAGAGGACGAACTGGCCGAGACCTCGCGCTGCCCCCACCACGACTGAAATCGAATCACTGACGAATTTCGTCGCGGGACCATACTTTGTCGTCTAGAGCACTCCTGGTTCGTTGTTGTGTCTCGCCTTCGTCGTCTCGTCTTCGGCACTCAGCCAAGCCTTACTGCTGTTGGAAATTTTCGACATTTAACGGTTTATTGCAATTAATTGATTCATTTTTGATGTCAAGAGGAGGGGCATGTAAACGTTCGGTCTGCAAGAGCACTTTCTTCACAATCTCTACTTTTCACGTCGGCGATCTTTTTGGATCTTCTTGTATTAGAAGTACGTCGAGAATTGTGTTAGCGTTTCTTTAGAGTTGTCATTTTCTCTTCTGAATATCCCATAAGAACTTTTGATCTTTTGCTTCCTGGTGAGAAGGCTGTCTAACTCTGATGATATTGCTTTTCTGTTTTCCTACGTTTGTAACTTATAGGGCATTTTAACCTGTTGTCTCTTTCAGGTGGTTTTCTTTTTTGTTTGTTTCAGTGTATTCTCTTTCCTTCTCTATTTGTTTGTTGTTTGGGACAAGTTTCGTTCTTTGCTTGAAGTTTACTTTTGGTTATTCGCGTGTTTATGAGATATTCAGTTTTACAGGTATTAGAACCATTTTCTATTCTATTTCTATTTCTTTGTTCGAATTCTGCTTTATTATATGAAGAATGGATACAGAAGTAGTTAAGGCTTTTAATGCAGAGGTAAGATTTCTAATCCTACTGATCCGGTGTTTTTCTGTTATTTGAAAAAATTGGGTCAACTAGAGTATGTGTGGAACTGGAAGTTAAAGTAAAATCGGCCCCGTTTTGTAGGAATAGATTCTAAGCATCTCGGGTCTCCTTTCCCATCCCCGAGTACATTACCTCCTAAGCAAGTCCCCATCTGCATTATGACGCTCCTTGTTTTGTGCAAGAAGCCCATCAGGTGGTCCTCTTCAACCTACCTGCGCCTGAGCATCGTCTCACTTTTTTTCCCATTAGGAACCGCTGTACCCTCTTTTCCGTTCTCTTGAGTCGCATTCTAAGAGTGCTATTCGCTGCGGATGATGAGGCTTCTCAAAAGGAATGGATTTTGCGCGGGGCCAGCCCATGTTCCACCAGTTGTTAAAGCGAGCAAGCGACAAGACTATCATGTTGTTTTATCAGTCGCTTTTAACCAATTTGTCGCTTATCCGCTTCAACAACTGATGGAGCACGAGTTTGGCTCCGTTCCAATCGCTCCGCATGACATACCCCTTTATCCGCAGCGAACAAAAGTTTACATATCGATTTGAGGATTCGCGAAACCGGAGAACCTTTCTGAATCTAACAAATTTCACAATTCTCATTCATAACGCTAGATAGGCACCATTGTTTCATGCAGATCTCCCTCTAACTGCTGTTTCTGTCTCGTCCGCATTACGCACTGAAGGGAAGGAAGGAAGGGGGGAGGATGGTACTGAAAGAGAAAAGTCTTCCCGTTAGTCAATCCGTTTCAGAAATGCGGCCCGCATCCTACTTCCAGGTAGTGGATTATTGAATGCTTTGTGGCCCATACTGACTTGGATGGAGGGCGGGGGGTGCCGATGTGAGTTATTGTTCTTTTCCTTCCAGACCACTCTGATACCAACTAACTGTCCCCGGTGGGCAGAAGGTCTGGTTGGCTTACATGGAAGCGTCTCGTGATTTGACCCCGCACCGCGCGTTGGTAAGCGTGCCCGTGGCCACTACACCGTCTCCACGGAAGACTACGGAGAGAAAATACGGCTTGTTCAGTAATTATATGTTGTCTCCCAAGGCGGAGGTGGTGTAATGTCAAATGACACGTGTTTGGTCCGGGAGTCAAATTACGGAATGGCTTCTGCACTGGCCAATCAAGCCTTTTAAATACTCTCTAAATTGGTACCAGATTTGTCTGGGAGGATGAGAAAACTGACTTGTACATCGGCTGGATCCCGCAAGTCATTGTATAGGCCACATCGCATTCAGTAAGCCACTACGATTCTGAATGGAAGTGGAATGCGTGCAGCATCTAAGGGATTGATCAACGGCGGAATTTTATCCTTTGTCATTTATGGCGTCTCCCTCAAATGGGCTATCTTTGTTAAAACAAGTATCATTACAGTTAACGTCAGTCTACGATTCGAAGCCTCCGTTAAGTAAGAAAAAAATCCAAGATATCGCCAGAGCAGCTCTAAAAGCTAAGAGCTTCTACAAACATGTCGTTTTCAGTGTGGAGAAATTCCTTGCCAAGGTTAGTTGGAATTTCGCTGTTCATTAAAATAGTGAGAACTATGCGGGATAATGTACGAAACCAATTTTCTTTGTTTCAGTGCAAAATTGAGTACAAGATACCATGTCTATATGTCATCGACAGTATTATTCGTACATCGAAACATCAGCTTAAAGAAAAGGATGTCTTCGCGGCTCGATTTCTGAAGAATTTTTCGAAGACTTTATCTGATATCCTCGCCTGTCCAGTTGCAGATCAGGTAACGATAGAATTATTTCTTTTGAAATGGTTTTATTACTTTTTTCAATGGTTGAAGCATTCCGATCGCACGGCAAAGGAAATGTTTTTGGATAGTCGCCAAACTTCACCGTTTCATTCAAACAATATGCTTCTCCTCTCTCAACTAGCAATTTTCTGGTGACCATCACTGCCTTTTTTGGCCTCTGCATTGTTCTGGAACGGTTTTGCAAATCTTCGCCGTCGGCATAGCCCACTCCGGCGCATGCCCCACCCGCTGTGCGCTATCTTCCATGGCCCGTAGGTGCTCTCTACATCGTGGCTCAGACTCCACCCATCAGGAACTTGATTTGGTCCATCAGAGGGGTTTCTCACGTGATTCCTATTTCCCAAGCAGTCACAGACATTGTCCGCAGACACCAAACTCCTAATTTACATATAAAGAATGGTGATAGCCTTCGCTATTCGAGTGTGGCTGGAGGGGTGGGAGGGGGGACGGGGTGGAAATGAATGTAAAGATCTCGACAGAGCGATTGAAGCTATATTTCTACATCCTCCCACCGAAATAGTAGTTCCCTCACTTTTCAAGGCTCAGTCTCGGAGAGCGCAGAAGAGCAGGATACGCACGGTCCAGCCTCGTCGCGCACTCTTTCCTCCCTCAGCTACACCAGCAGCTCCTATATGTGGAACTCCTCTTGACCGCTCGGAGTGAGTCGGCCCTCTCACTCTGGGAGTATCCGAGCACGTGTTTTCGTCTCTTAAATTGGCCTTGAACGTCTGCAGCGCTCGCTTTAATTAGCATCATTCTCATGAATGAAGGGACTGGAGCAGACTTGGTGGGAGAAGGATCGTATTTCTTACAAAAGGGGACTTTCTCTGTGCTGTATTTGCCAAATCGCTTTAGAGCACTATGTTTATCGTTCGTCGTTTTAGCCTCGGGTCGTTCGAACGCTAAATCTATGGAGTGCTAATGGCGTTTTCACTGAAGAACAATTAGCCCCTTATAAGCAGCAATGCCGAGATATGGGCATCGGTAAGATATTTGGAAAATTTGTTACATTATATGTATTTGCTCTTGTTGGAGAATCACGGCTAAGGACCGTTAGTTTGACGAGGGCTCTTTCATGTGAAGTTGCAGCTTTTGAAGGACTGGAGTAGCACAGGTACGGGGTCCAGTGCCTGCTAAGAGATTAATGATGATCACTGACGTCACACAGCACGTTAGGTCGCGTTCATACTTTTCGACTGGTAGATTCGGCGGTTTGAGAGATTGCGCGCCGAAGGAGTGGATGGGCATCGATCGGCCCCGGTCGCTAGCGATTGCAGAGATTCACTGAACCGGAGTTTGGGAGATCGCGGGATCGCCAAATCTACGCAATCGGTAGCGACCGGCGCCGATCAATACCTTTCCATTCCTTTGGCGAGGAAACGCCGTGTTCCCCGGATCGGTCAATCTCTGCAGTCGCCTGATCACTACCTTTACCTTCCTATAGCTATACTTTCCTCGTCGCGCAATCTGTCTCATCACCGAGCCTCCCAAACCGCCGCCTCCTCTGTGGCAAGTATGAACGTAGCCTTAGGGTAACGTTTTGAGACGTCGCTGGTAGAGTACAGGTTTTCTCGTCACCAAAGTATAATGTGAAGTTCATTCACAGCCTACACGTAGCCTTCACTTCAACCGACAACGTAACATACGCTTTCGAATACTGACTGCTATATTTTTTTAATCGTTTTCTGTTTCTTCCACACCTTATGAAAATCTGATCTTTTTCGTCCTTTCAGACACGGATGTGGAGCGAGTCGAACGTTTGGTAAAAGGAGAAGATGCCGATATGTCTCGATACGGTGGAGCATATGGGCGGGCGAAAGAAAAGGAAAAGAAAAAGCATCACCGACATGCGGCCCCTCCGGAGTCGCCATCAGTTAGTTCGCAGGGCAATCACCAGGACATGCCTTCACAGGTAAGGGGTTTCTTTACATTTTTTTTCTTTATTTTCCCATGATCTCGCGTTCTAGCAAATCACGTGCGCATTTTTGCGGCCATTCCAAATAACATATTTAGATAGCGTTTTTTCCAGGACGTTTCAACTACACCGCCCATGCCACCACCTGCACATTTGGTAGCACCTGCAGCCGTACCAGCAGCAGCGTCATCAGCAGAAGCTCCGATGACTTCGCTTTTACCAGAAGCACCTGTAGCCCCCGTGGTATCAGAAACGTCTGAGGAACCGACCACCGAACCTGAGCCATCCACCGATGCCAGAGATCTCGACAATGAGCCATCAGATGAAGTTCCACCCTGTGAGTTGAAAGCCATTTAGTTATTTCAACGATTTTCAGTCTGTGATCGTTGCCTTTTGCGACAGCACTGTCCATGCTGTAGTTCTTATAGCGTATGGGATAGTCGGGGCTGTGTCAGGAAGAGCGGAGTGAGCCCGACTCGGCTCTGTTGCCTTCCAGTAGTGATAGACTAGCGATCATTTCAGGAAGGAAACAACCTGTAGAAAAAAAAATGCCACGGACTCGTTCCATGTCTCCTAACACCGCCCGACTGATTGTAACGATATCACCTGTACTTATAGGTGGATTGAGTGAGCGGAAGCTCTTGGATATGATGATTGATGCGAATTTCGACTTCAGTGGGGCATTCAAAAATGATATTGTTCTCTTGAGGAAGGCTCATGGGGTAAGTTGAAGTTGTTCTTTGTTCCTATCTTTTTCCTGTTAACGTCTTGCGTTTTCTACGAAAGTCAGGTAAGATATTTCGACAACACTTTGTCCACCACTTTCCGGATGTCTGAAATCACAGCTTCTTGCTCCGTTTCTTGAAAGTCACTTTGATCATACACTCTAGTTCGCTGCGGACGGTTGGGCGTGTCAGGCAGTATGAGTGTGTCACCCCGTCAAAGCCGTTCTCTGCCTTCTTGTTGAAGCGCGCATGCGACAAAAAGTGGTAGAAAACGAGTAATACGAACGATATGATACAGTCATATCATTTGCTCGCTTTAACAACTGGTGGAGAACGGGTTTGGCACCGCGCCAAACTCATCCCGCCTGACACGCCCAACCGTCCGCAGCGAACTACCCTATACTTTGCGCTGCTGGGGTCTCGAGGGGGCGCGCCACAGCAAGTCAAGTCCGCTGTTTTCACGGACTTTGTGCTCACATAAGCCGTCTTAGTCTCGAAACATATGGTAGTGGATTGCATGACGCCGTCGCGTGGCCGGTAGTAGCGCCCACAATTTTTTGCTGCGACTCGATTTTATCTATAGCCTATTTCAGTTTTTAAAAGAGGGCGCGGTATTGAAGAAGGCGCAAATATAGCCCAACCCCGCCCATATCATTAGCTTGAACTGTGTATTTAAGCTTGATGATAAGCAGCATCCATTGTCACAGGTTTTAAGGCAATCCCTTTCCCATTCTAGTCTCTAATTCTCTTCTCTGAACGGCATCTCTCTATGGCACATGCTTTGTGAGATAAGTTGGCACAATTCGGCGACGGGGGGAGGGGAGGCATTTTGGCTGTCACTCTGGTGGAACCTGTTTACTCTTGTGAAGCTGGATCGAGATTGTCGTGTCACCATGGTAAAACCTTTCAAACTTGTAAGCTCAGAGTGGCTCTCAGATGGGTCGACTTGTCCATGGGAAGTAGCAAAAGTGCAAAAACCCTCCTCCCGGGTCGCCGAACTGCCCCGGAAAGTTGAACAAAAGTCGTGAATGCTTCCTCTAGGTCATTGCTGAAGTCTCAGATATAACCCACATTATTTCAGTTGATCTGCCGTGCGTTGGATGCGAGAATACGATCTGTTGGTGATAAGCCCGAGATCAAGGTATTTTTTTGGCATCTCAAGTACTGTGATGTGTATTCAAATAATCGGATCGCTACGTGTTTTCCATCTACGCAGTCTTTTTGTATCTAATGGAGAATTATGTTCTTTTCACTTGAGGATTTATTGTCGAGTCAATTCGACTATAGCGATGAAGAGGATGATGGAGATGAGAGTAGAAAAGTGTCGAAAAGATCCAATGTTACAAAGGTTTTTCAAGAAGATCTGCTGAGGTATGTTCTTTCGTTGAGAGCATTTCTTCTATAAATAGTGAGAGTGAAGAGTAACAGCCCCTTGAAGGCATTTGCGCACTTTCTCACCTCATTTCGCTACTAACCTTCCCGAAATAAGGTCAAAATGTGGGAGGTGGGAAGGGATCCACTGGCCATGCACGTACTCCGGAGGTCAGGGTGTGTTCCGGCTCAGCTTCCACCCGGCAGCGAAGACTTCTTGTTCCTTCCGGTGACGGTGGTAGTACCAGATTTGTTTAGAGGATAAAAACAGCGACTAGTGCATCGGCTGGCCTTCGCAAGTCTTTGTAGAGCTGACCTCGACTTCAGTAAGCCACTATTCTGAGCGGGAGGGGATCCATTTGCTCAAAAGAGATTGATCAGCAGAAACCTTCATCGCTTGCAGTGCTGATAGGGTTGGCGGGCCGATAGGTGGTGGTTTACACGCGGCCCCTCTTGTCTGAGCTGTACAGGGCTTTGAAGTGTTATGTTAGGAGATCATTATCTCTACGAGGGGCAGCATACCAGCGGATTAGTTCTCCGTAGTCTCAGGATAACTGTCAACCGCGAAGCCCTTCCTTCTTCTTACTTTTTCCTTCCTCCTTACTTCTTTTTCTTGTTTCTTTCTGTCCTCCCTCTTCCTTATTTCCCTTCCTCGAAATGCTAGACGAGAAGATGCGATGAGAAAACATCTCTGGACCATCGCAGCCAGAGAGCATCCGCTTGTCAGATCTCTTGTAACCGTTTCCGCGAGCTCCGTCCAGTTCTTTTTGATCTGGGGGTTTTTTTGCAAGATTTTCTCATCCTCATTTTCTCATCGTAGCGCAAATATGGGATTTTTGTATTGTTGATTCAATATATTGGTTCTACTCATCTCTGTCAACATTTTTTTTTCGTATTGCAGCATAGCAAGGAACTTAATCGAAGATCCCAATGTAATCGCTGCATTCAAGCGTATGCATGCAGAAAGAATTGTTGCCCTTAACCAGGTAACGTCTAATGGAGTAAGTGATTTTCATTTTATTTCTCAATCACGTTGAAGCTTCCATTTGCTGGAGCATCGATGGGTGCCCTTCGACTTAGGAGGGGCGGGGGATATTTGGCAACTTTGCTATTTCCCATCGTGCCGTCGAGCCATCAAGTGGAGACTTGTGAAATCTTGTGAAGTCATGAAGTGATACCAGTTAAAATTTGTAGAGACTTGTCAACTCTTGTAAGGAATACTTGTCAAGTCCAGTGAAACAATGAACTTGACGATGAGATGTGGCAATAGCGCAAAATGCCCCGCCCTCCCGTACCCAAGCCGAGCTGCGCCCATTGATCTATACTTTTATTATCGAGCACTGTAATTTTTGTACTCAGATTGCTGCCCAAGCACAGCGCACGTTGCCTTCACTTCCTGCTACAATAGCTCCAAGTATTTCTACAACTACAGCCCAGCAACTTCAAGGAATTAGTCTTCCAAAAGGTCTCCCGCCCGGACTTTCATTGCCTCAAGGCATTCCCGTATGTCATTTTTTTCCAATATGTATTTCATGATATCTTTATAGGTTTTCACCTTAACGTGCACGTCCGCTAAGCTTAATATTATCTTTTAGTTTATGGACGTTAGCCTATTCCAGGCTGGGTTACCTAACCTTGCTGGCTTACCAGGGCTACAGAGTTTGCCCGGTCTACAGGGTTTAGCTGGAATTCCATCGTTGAATTTGGCTCAGTTGTCTGCTATTAATCAGGCAAATGCAGCTCAACCAAATCAAGCCTTGTTGAATCTACTGGCTAATAATTCTTTAGTAAGTTGACTAGCCAATCTAGATTCAGATATTTCTCTCCACTCTGGTTTTCAGGCTTCAAAACTTGGCGCCCTGTCCAATTTACAGTTCGCTCATGCCCGCCCACCAGTTTCTTTGGCTGGAGGATTCGATCCAGCTCAGCTGGCTAAACATCAGGTACAGGTTTGATTTTTCCATTCATGGAATCGAGGGATTCTTCAAAGTTTGACACGCTGATATTATTTTGATAGAATCTTTAGGCGTAATTCGGCATGATGGGGGCTTTTTCTAGTTTCCAGAACAAGAGCTTCCTTTACACTTGTCAAGATTGTAAAGGTCTCCTCACCAAGGCGTTATGTATAATTTTACAGTAAGAAGGGAAAGGAACTGGCGAAAGTGCAAAATGCCCCTTCAAAGCCGGAGAGCGCCCGTCTTTGGATGCTTGATGTCTTGGCGTCTCTCTTGCTAGGTAGTAATTGTGTGTAGTTTCACTTATTCGTTTTAGGAGATACTCCAACAGCTGGCAGCAGGCGGTGGAAATTCGGGCATAACTGGTGTTCCTCCGCCATCTACCCTTGGTTTACTTGGTGCTGCCCCAGGACAATTGCTTGGACCGTTGCCAACAGCCCCAGTTGCAATCATGACTGATGATAGTGAGGTGGGTACATGGGGCAGATAAACAAACGTTCGATTTTTTTTGCGACATGAGGCCGCGTTCATACTTCGCGACTGAAGCGATTTTCAAATCGCCGACTGTGACCTCCACAAATAGTTGGAGCTATGCGACCAATCTGTTCCAATCAAATCCAGGAAAGAACCTCTTTGTGCCGTTCAAGTTGTCCATGGATTAGTGGAGTGCGCTAGGCCGCATTTAAGAATAGCAGGAGTCGTAAAGTATGAACGTAGCCTTACAAAAAGATTTCTGTATCGGTACCTTTTGAATTCAGAGCGACAAAGACGGTCGTAGGAGGGATCGAAAGCGAAGTCGTTCGAGAGACAGAGGCGATCACAAGAAGCGAAGAAGCAGGTCTGTTCAGTTTGGAAACAATTTGTGCCATGTATTATACGATATCTGCTGTTTAACGCCGCAGTTCGCTCTCCGAAAATTATCACAAGGGTGCTTAGGTATGGGCAAAAGTCTTGACCCAGACCGGACTCGAGCCCGCGCATCACGCTCACTGAGCGGGTGCGTTATCCGTTACGACATTAGGCTCGCTCTTTCCCTCTCAGGTTGAGGGCTTTTATGCCCCTGGTGCCATAACGGATAGCGCCGGGAAGCGCAAGGTGTGGGTTTGGGTCCCGCCTGGATCGAGATTTGCCCATAAATCAACATTCTTGTGATTTGGTTACCTAATTGTTATTCAAAAAGATCAAATGGTTGATTGGTTCAGATCAAGAGAACGCAAACCCGAAAAAGTGGACCGTGAGAGACGAAAGCTAGGGTTACCTGCAATTCAGGAAGGTGTGACAACAAGTGAGTTTGAATAGATCGTCCTTTGACACTATTCCATGCTTTTTTTGCTTTTCTTAGTAGTTTATATGTTTTATTATGAACTTCGTTAATCGTTTCGTATCTACTGTTTTGCAGTCGCCTCGAAAACGCTGTGGTTCGGACGCTTACCACCAAACATCAGTGAAAACGATATTAAGGTTGTTTTACCTCCCTTCATGGCATACCTCGCGTTCAAATTGGTGTTTTGCGGCTCGAATGCTGATGACAAGATGGTGAATACACAAAAATGAGTTTAAAAAAGAACTAGAAATCCGCCCCAAATGCCTCAACCCCATGCTGAACCGCGCTTGTACGTCTAAGGCGAAAAAAGGGCGTGGTCGGGCGAGTTCCCTTTTGGTGGCAAATCTTTCGTCTTGTTACCTCACTTTCATCATTTGAAAAGGAGAGATTAAAGACAGCTCCCGCGATAAAAGTCTCATGGATAGCTGCTTTCCAATTATGAAACAGCAGCTGATAAGTAATCTCCCAAAGAAGAAAACAGGCAAGAAGCGTTCTCCAGAACAACATAAACAAAATCGCTCCCTCACAGTTACACCTCTGCGGTCTCTGTGCAGCCCCTAGCTCACAAATCTCTCTATCACATCTCGCAGTAGTTGATATCATCTAGTGCAAAAAAAAGAATACAAAAAGAAAACACAGAAACGCCAGAGAAAAAATCTGGGAGGCAAAATGGAATTTTTATCAACGCACAAGTTGTTGACATTTGTGATTAGCGTAGGCACCTTTTGTGCGTCGTGTATTTTGCATCACGAAAATTGCGTCACTCGTGTTTTTTACGCGTTTCACCTCGCGAAATGGGTTGAATTGAATGTATATACCTCCAATGAGTAAACTGTAATGAAGGAGAGCAGAATTATCCAGGGGCATTAGCAATGCCCGCCGCCCCAACTAAGAACAAGTGAGTGGCCTCCGTCGGAGGACATCTAGCAAGTAAAGGCGGTCCGACTGAGGAGGAGTTAGAACTAGCACTTTGAGCGGCTATAGCAGCCTCCACGCTCACAATAGAGTCGCGAAAGGTGAACAGTCTTCTAGCTTGGAGGCTAGACTACTTGCACAGCAAAGGCGACCACGAGCCACTTTGATCGCGGGGGCTGTCTTTAAGAAGCGGAATACGCGCATCATCAGATAGCAGTTCAAAACGAAAGCTGGGTGGAGTCGTGGGCAAAGGGCGGAGGCGTGAATTCGCCGCGAGCGTGCAGCGCTTTCCTGCCGTAATTTCGAGCTGCGAAAGTAGTACATCCTCCATCTTGCAAGCAAGACTGCCATGTCCAGAGAAGACGCTTGAACATCAAAGAAACGCGAGGCGTGCCTTCAGAACCGTTTTGGCTTAGTATTTGTAATTTCTTTGGTTGCTTCTAACAGATGGCAATTGCTGATGTGGGAGAAATCAACAGTATACATATCATTGCATCGAGAGCCTGTGCGTATGCCACTATGGCCTCAAGAAAAGCTGCTTTCGAAGTACTGCAACGGTTCGGAAAGGACCTGCAGATTCAAAGAAGGAATGTGAAAGTATGTTATCGGTCGTAGAAAACATTTGTGCTTCTCTGGAGCTTTCTTCCTTCTCTGGAGCTTGACTTGTCTTAGGTGGACTGGGCAAAAGGAACTGGCATGAAAGAGAATGAACTTGCAAAATACTGGGATGGAGAACGCGGCATTTCATTGATTCCTTGGGAACAACTTCCAACGAATATGGATCGGTTTTGTGATGGTTCCTATCTTGACGTGGAGTCGTTACCACCAGACAAAAGAAGTAAGTCCACAGTTCATTTGCCTCGTTTTGCAATTACCAGAACAATTTTCAGACTTGTATACCGAGACCGGTAAGCTAGTGACCGCATCGTCAGGGCAAACTGGCGCTGAAAAACCCACGCCAACGAAATCGGAGGATACACCGTCGCATTCATCCCCACCACCCACCTCAATGCATGCCTCACCGATCAAGTCATTGGTACCAGATTCACCTGCTGTACTACAGCCTCCACCACAGGCCGTTCCACCACCTAGTGGTTTTCCTCCTTTTATGGGTACGTTACATTGGATTCTTATGTAATATTCCTTCGAAGGCATAAGGCACGGTAATTTGGTACTCGGTCTAGAATGTTGGCAGAGATGCTATATTGTGGGGAATGGCAAAAAAAAACAACAATGTGAAACGGTCAAAAACCTGTATAAAGGAAGCCTTTGTTCTAGCAACTTAAAAACCGATTTTGGACGAGTTTCTCGCTGGCATAGAAAGCGATTTTGGACGAGTTTCCCGCTGGCATCGTACCAACAACCGCCATGGTAGATACGACTGCATGTACAGGGGGAAGTCACGTCACGTCATCAGAGTCACATATCAGCGAAGTTTTCGCAGCCCAGACAGAGGACGTGGATACGAGTACCAGGGCGGAAGATACCCAAGATGTTCCTCGATAAGCAGGAGCAGGCTGCCGCCCATCACCTTCATGTGAAATATGAAGTCATCTCCAATCGCAGCCTGACTGGAGAAGGCCTCACCTGAACCCCCTCGATTGCCGGGTTTGGGCGGAGCTCAACAGGGTGGTCTACAGTGGCGGAGAAATCAACGACCTCGCTGAACTCAGGTACCGAATCACGGTCGCGTGGCAGAATCTCTCGATGGCGCTCGTCCAGAAGGCTGTGGCGGAGCATCATGATAGTATACAATATGCTGTTGAATATGGTGGTGGAAATGTCCCATCAGAATTTAATTAAGTGTAACTTATAGCGCCTGAAAGTCAAGGAAGAAAAGTGACTTTTTTTTGCCCCCCCCCTGTATGTGCACATATATCTTTGCGGCACAGCAGCCGCTTCATATCAATCAAATATTGTACTTCCCAATTACGGGCCTCAACTACGGTCGTCTGTAGGCGA